AACACTTACACGTGTTTAAATTTATGCTTAGGTAAAACCCTCAGATGTGTTTGGGATGTTTGCCTATCTTTACTAGATTTTAAGCCTTTCCTCCTTTCACTATATGCTATGTAGAGTTACAAGTAGACCAGAGGATGCATTGAGGCAGCTCTGTAGACCATCTTTGATTTTTTTTTTTAATATAAACTGAAGTCTTCTTCCATGTTAATTTTTACAAAGATGATGATAAACTCCAAAGACCAGAATTACCTCTTTGTTCCTTAAAGAAGGCAACTTAAAGAAGGGAACTGTGGGTGTATGATCAACAGAACATAGCCCTACAGTATTGTAAAGATACATTATTGAAACAATTTTTTAGAAACATTCCATCTTTCCAACACAGTGCACTTAAGAACTTCATGCTAAACCAGATGGAAATGCAATACACCCTTATGTGCATGAAAATCTGTGAAATGTTAGCTAGTGTATCCATTAGAAGTTTGATATTCTGTAGCTTACATCATGACCAAAACACATTTGTACTCACATGAATTGCCATCAAAGCTTTCCTGTTCACCTTTAACTTCATGATTCGTTGCTGTTGCTCTTGCTGAAATGCCAGACTTAACCCTGACCAGACTTTTGCTCTGCCAGAAACAATAGCAGGTATTGTGTTAAGTTGATCTACCCCATCAGTTTCCTCTGTAGCTGCCTTCAAGGCTCAGTGCAGGATGTTTTTATTCAGGTCAGTTCACCTTTGACCATTATATCTGTTTTCTTCATTAGCTCTTCATTTTTAGATTATATTTTCCTTTGTTGTTCTTTTTGACAGTGATTATTTCTTTGTGGGCCAGTGGACCAGAAACAGTCTCTGGCAATATGATGACAGGTGCTATTTAATTTAAATATTACTTTCATCGTGTAGTATACCGATAGTTTTATCGTTTGCTCCACAGCAGCAGCTGAGAGTTGCTGGAGAACAAAAAAAAAAATTAAAAATCTAAAAATGAACATACAGAGATGTTGCTTCATTTTGCATTTAATGGTCCAATAAATTGTTGCAGTACATATCATTCAGATACATAAACAACAAATTAAATTATTTCAGGGCATCTAGCTTGTGTGTGTCACTTTCCACATTTGTTCCATCTGTTCATGTGTCAGTAACAGTCCTGACATATGTTAACTTTTTTTTTTAAAAATGCCAAATGACTGGTGCTGGATCCAGAACACCTGTATATTTATATCTCTTCCTCTTGTCTCCTCCTCTTTCCGTTCTCTAACATTCCACAAATGTGAAGTATCAAAAGAGAAGAGGTTTGAAGGTTGTCGTCCATCTTTTTACTATAAAGATTCCTCTTGCTAGTAACAACCGAGAGTGAGATTGTCACTTTAAAACAGTCTCATGACAAACAGTTATCAGTGGTATCTGTATGTATGCTAAGCATATTAGTGCAAGAAAGCAAAGTCAGTCCGTTACTACTTCTTAGTACAGACACCAGCGAGTTTCCTTATTAGAAGTGTGAAATAATTCAGGTTGGAAAGGAGGTGTCTAGTCCAGCCTCCTGCTCAAAGCAAGCTCAGCTGTGAGATCAGACCAGGTTGTTCAGGGCTTTCTCCAGGCTGATCTCAAAAACCCCCAGCGGTGGAGGCCGCACAGCCTCCCTAGGCAAGCTGTTCCAGGGCTTGATTGCCCTAAGGAACAGGTTTTTCCTTACATCCTTTTGTTTCAATTTGTGTTTGTCGTCTCTTCTCCTCCTGCCATGCACCACTGTAAAGAGCCTGCCTCTGCCCTGATGCCCACCTCGTAGGTAGTGGTAGGCCACAGTGCCATTTCCTCCCTAGCCATCTCTCCACTGGGCTGAAGAAGTCCAGTTCTCTCGGCTTCCCCTCACAGGGCAAGCGCTCTAGCCCCCGACTGTCTTGTGGTGGCCCTTTGCTGAACTTGCTCCAGTTTATCCATGTCTTTCTTGTACTGGGAGGCCTAAAACTGGACACAGTGTTCCATATAGTTACTTCCCTTGCTCCATGACTGCGCTCCTGTACATGCAGCTCAGCATGCTCTTGGCTGCCTTTGCTGCCAGGGTGCCTAGCTGGCTTGTGCAGCTTGCTGTCTGCCAAGACCCCCAGGGTCTTTTCAGCACAGCTGCGCTCCAGCTGCTCAGTCCTCAGTCTGTAGTGTTGTAAGCGGTTATTCCTTCCCAGGTGCAGGGCTCCACATTTGCACCCAGTTAATATCATAAGGCTCCTGATGGCCCATCCTCCAGCCTATCTAGGTTTTCCTGAAAGGCAGCTTTGCCCTCAAGCATGTTGGCTTTTCCCTCCAGTTAGGTGTCATCTGCAAACTAGATAAGAGTGCTTATTCCAGCTTTTCTCCACCAGCCAGCATTTGAGAATAAAGACAAGCTACACCCTGAGAGCAAAATATTTCCTTTTAACAGTCTAAGACTGGGCATAGTATCCTGGAATAATTCACAATTCAGTGTGAAGAAGCACTACAGTGAGAAACAGACAAATGTTTTTCTCTCTTAAATCATGATTTCTTTTAATGTAGATTATTATTTGAAAGATTAAGCTAAATGAAGTCTGCAGTACCTGATATCACAGTCCCACTTGTGCTGAAAAACAGCCACTGAAGTTACTGGAAATGAGGAGGACTGTTGATTTAACAATAGAGCTTATTGGAAGTTTTGTCTCAACAAAGATTGCCATTTCTCACAGAAAAATCTGGTACTGTAAGATTTTCATAGTTGTCACTTGTTCTTTCTGAATACTGGTCTTCAGAAGTGACAATGATCTTCTAAGGAGAAGTGCCTTACGTGCTTTAGGGGGTTATCTACAGAAAACAAATCTATTATTTATAATATCAGCATTATATTATATATACTTATAGATTATATAGTTATATCATGCTGTTATACATACAAGTGTATTGTTACATATATTATATATCTTTTTAATAAAACAGTTATCACTGATGTGTTCTGCATGTGTATAATAGGAAATTAACAATATTAGAAAAAAATTCTAGTACATACAACTTGTTTAAATTTGTATTAAAATATATACATCACTTCACTGTTTTCCCACTTAAAAGATTTGTGGAGAGCTAATGTAAACTTAAAAGCAGCTAGTAGCTGGACTCAACTCCTATAGTACTCCCATATTAAGACTACAGCTGATATAGATCAGAGTAATTTAAGCATTATTACCATGCAGCTTCTGATGGGATTTTATTGGCCAAAAAAGGGGAGGAAAACTAATGTTCTTTTACAGGCGCAAGCAGCTCACCCCCTTTTGATCTACTTGCGCTCAGATCACAAACCTCACAGTAAGGATTCTATATTGAAAGAAAAACAGTATTGTTCTTGAAACACTTCGCTGTTTTGCAGCTCACGAGACCATGAGTTGGTGAACTTTTGAGCTTTCTGATGATGGCAGTAGTGGGATACAGCTCATTAACTGGGCAAGCTACTACGAATGCTTTCACAGCTATGCTCTGGCCAGTAAGAAAAAAAAGAACTACTCAAATACGCTGTAAACTTTGTAGAACACTTACATGAATCCAATGTCTGGCTGGGTTATTACTTAATTATTGTTGGGTCCTACCTTCAAAGCCTTTGACAATTTGGCTTTTTCATGGGAGTATGTTAAAGAAGTAGAAAGACAAGGGCAGTGTCAATCACTGTTTCCACTGGAGACTCCCTTCTTCCTTCTATGCTCTTCCTTATAAAGCACAGAATGAGCTACCTAGTTGGGACACTTTCCCCTCTTTCAGGCAGTTTGAGGTGCGTTTTACTCTAACGCTGATGGAAGACTACTGTCTGCTTGATAGATAGCAGAGACATATCTCAAAATGAAATTTCAATTTAATTAGACTACTAGCAGATAATCCCATTCCTGAAAATACTATCCTCTGCTTTTTCAGTACACAAATATTTGAGTTCTGTCTGGGGTCAGAATGAGATGTTACCTCTTTTGGTGTTAAAAAAAAGTTTAGGAATTCATAGCGCAGTAAAAGCCCGTTTTTGAACAAAGCTGCTAGGTACAGCCTAATCTAAATGAGCCACACAGTGTATTTTTGAAATAATCATGTCACTGAAGGGATCTTATTTGGGGGAGGGGGGGTGGAGAGCTTATATAGACATTAATTAAGACTGTTCAGATAGCAAAGAACCACAAAACAAAAACAAATCTTTGTTCAGTGCATTCTTTTTGTCTGCCTGTGCTTATTAAGACTTCAAATTATCTTTTGGAGATGCTGCATCTCATGGATGCTTGGAATAGCTGGCTGTTAGAAGTATGCAAGAAATAAGTGACAGAAAGAATTCACTGTTGAAGGTACACGTGCGTTACTCCCCATGGGTTCTTTTAAAGATAAATCTAATAAGTCTTTTATTCAGAAAACTTTTCCCAGCCTCCAATACAGCCACATAGTTAGCACATGGTATTTTTGCTAAAGAACTGAACTCATCAGCTATCTTTAATGCAGTTTTGTGTCTCAAGGAGTCCTTGATCTGCCCAGAAATCCACTAACAGTTCCAGCAATAGAAAAAAATACATTATTTCCCCTAACGTTGAAGGGCTCAGGAAGCACTAAAGGCTGAATTTTCCTGTGTGGCTCACTTTAACCTAGGGTTTCTCCCCCACAGAGCAGTAACCCGTTACGTCCCTCATACTTGCGGCATTCAGCAGAACACACACATACACATAGAGTTCATGCTTGATAGGCCCAGTTCAGCAAAGTACTTGAACACACTGTCAACTTAGTGATTTCCATGGGACTAGAATATGGCTAATTCTAAACATGTGATTTAAATCCTTTCCTGAACTGAGGCCCTTGTTAACAGAATCAGAATATGAAGATAAAGATGCACAGAACTTTCAAGTAATTGAAGAGGCTGCAGTGTACGTGGGTGACAATTTTAATGTACATACTGTAATCTTTCAAGCAATATATTTTTATTAATTTCAGTTCAGATAACAACCATTTAGGAAAAAGGGTAAACAATGGAGGATCTTAACAGAGACATCTGAAATTCTTTCAAAGAACTGACAGAGCAAAACAGTTACATTTTCAATTTCAGATTAAAGTCTTCTCAAACTTGATGCAAGAAGTAATCTTTCAAACAGCTTCCAAGATAATGCAACAAACATTTGAGCATGCATAGAATTGCATTCCTAAATTCTATGGGCATATGTTACAACCTTATCTTAAAATAAGACATTGGCACTGGAAAATGTTGGGTAGCTGCACAAATGATCCCTTGTATTGCAAGTACCAGTTCAGTGTTCAGATAGAAACAAATTAGTATAAGGTTTAGCAAGAATTAATACTATAGATTTTCTTTTTCCTTCCAATGTATCAGCATATTTTTCCAATGAGGTAGAGTCCAGTTTATTCTTTTTAGGACTTTGATTTGTTATACATATTTAAACTTCCGATAAGAGTGAAACGCTCCAGAGAAAAACATTTACATATAAATATATGACGGCCTCACGATTTACTTACCAGTCTTTTAAAACGATTTTGAATGTTGTCAGGAACATTCTAAACATTATCTTTAACCCCAAATCGCAATGCTTATCAGAACTTAAATACAGAATAGAATTATACATACACGCACGCATCCTCTTGGATTGTTTTTAGGAAGTGTGTGCCCTTCTCTGTTGGAACACACACCTCCAGCTTCACTCTCCTCCCCACTTCTTTGAGTATGTGGGCAACTTAACGTTTGGGGGAAAAAAACAAAACTAACCACACAGTAGTCCCATAGCCGTCCCCTAATCCTCTTATTCTCTGCAGTCAGTTTATAATTTATATAGTTTGCCAGATTCCCCCAAGGAGTTTTCTGCTGGATCAATGGTTTAATAATCTCATTAAAAGGTTCAACATTTCAATATAGACCAGTAGCAGCACCAGAGAGATGGAGGGATACGTACCTGGCAATGGAAAGAAGGAAAGGAGATATGAAATCTCCTTTTGGCAGCAGCAAAATCCAGTTATTTTGGCAGTTCAAGGGACCACAAACTAATTAAATCTGGTAAAGTCTGAAGGTCAGGTTATATATCCTATTTATACACTACTGTATGTATCTCCTATTCTCTGTTTTAAGAGCTATTAGATATTATGTAGTTTTGTGGCACGTTCTGAAAAAAGAGAAAGTAAATTTAAAAGGACTGCTTGCTCTAATAAAATAGATCTTTTAATCAGTTTCTTGGCTGCAGCCTATTATTTTTATGATGCAATTTATATAAATTGCATTATGTGAATGTTTTGCATTCAACTATAAATTGCAGTACTGGCAATTCTAGAAAAATATGCACATGATTCTGTGAGCGTAATGGGGTGTTACCCTAGTCCATACTTGGCCTTTGTGTGTGTTTGTCTTTTTTGCAACCTCACCCACATTGCACTGTATGATCCTGCAAATTTGAAGCTTTAGCAGTACATTAGAATCCAGATCTTGGCTGCTGAAAATATGCCTCTGCAGGATGATTTGTCTGTTGCGGAGAAAACAAACAAAAACTCCTGGATTTTAATTCTGAATTGAATCATGCTGGTTTGTGTCTTGGTGCCACATGCTATCTTAATTGTGCTTGGCTGTGTACACAAAGCAAGCAAAGTTGCATATCTGTGAGACAGCCCAAGAGCAGAACAGCCTTTGGGTGGGGACCTTGCTGTTACAGCCTCGCAGGGAGGCAAACAAACATCGCAGGGAACTGCCATTTCAGATTTTCTTGTATGGACAGGACACAAAGAACTAGAGAAGCCATTTAAGGCTCCATGAAAAACAGAACGGTCTGCTTATACAGTAAGTACAAGTGTTTTAACTTTTGAAATGGACATCTATAGAAAGTTTCTTTTGTACTATTAAAGACTGAAGTGTAGGCAATTATTTCTAGTAAAGTCGATTGATTTTATTTGATCATTTAATAGTTAAAAGTCATTTAATTGAGGAAGAACTTTCAGATAGGTGGTACAGGGAGAATAAACACTCCAACTCTTTTTAAAGGTTGAAAGAAATAAGGTTTCTTTTACTGCTCTGCATTTCTCCATTTCTTCCAATATAGGAGAGTTTGCCTAAATTTTTAAGTTTATTTTTGAGTTCCAAAAATAGCATTATATTTCTAAATATAATTAAGAAATAAAAAAGCAAACATTGAAGGTAAGAACTTCCATAGTAGACCTGCTGAGTGACCTATTTCCTCTAATAAACGTTGACTACACAACTGAATGCCATACCAGGTACACAAAAATATAGTGATGGTGGATGGTTATAGAGTTGGCATGTCCATAGGATAAGTTTTTTAATCTCTGTCAAGTGAAGATTGATTTCTGTCCAGAGTTTCTATTCTGTATTTTTTAAATAATTGTCCAAGTCTAGACCTTGCTAAGTTCTGTTAAGTTCTTTGTTAAATCTAGATTACTAATTTCACGTGACATCCAGACACGAGAAACACTCAAGTGAAACACACACGCTCTCTTCATGAAATTATAAATGAGGAAGTTCTCGTCTGTGAAATGCAAAAATTCTACCATCAAGATCTTACCTGAGTGTATAATTATGTCAGTCTGAGGATTGGCTGTCTATATGCACTGATTTTAAAGGCACAAATGACAATCTAATTAGCTAGCCAGAAATATAATGTAGATTTCCTAAAGCATGCGGTATTACAATTTGGAATTACCATGGCACAGTTTTTCCAAGTTTCTCATCTTTTAAACATGTATTAGTGCAAATTTGTTTTTAATCTGTAGCAGTGCTCTTAGGTTCACCGAACTTGACAGTACACTTGAATGTTTGCCATTAGCTGTGAATTAATGAAACTTTCATGAAATATAACAGTATACTGCTGTAAAAGTGCCTTAACAGCAACACTGGAAGAGGCATTCAAATACGTATTGAGTCAGAACGGAGGCGGGCAAGGAAATCAATAGGATTAATAACGACATGCTAAATTTAAATGTTTGTCTTCAGGTGCTGTTTTAGAAGAATAGCCTCTGACACCAAGAATAAAAGTTGTTGTCAGAATAATATGCGAACAGGTAATTTCTTTCAAGTGTTTTTGCTCAGGGGGGTGTGTGTGTGAAATTCATTGAAAGTGCATTGGTTTCAACAGCTGTCATTGGGGACATCACAACTACTCCACAGAGCCGTCTTCACTTACTAGTCAACACCAGTCAGTGCTACAAGTTCTCTAAAGAGAGTTTGCTTTGGTCAGTCCTAATATCTCTCAGCTTTTGGGATTGATTAGCATTCAGTCCAAAGTTGCTTGTAAGTCAGGAAGCATGAAGCAGTCCCTTTATCTTCTGTCAACATTCCCCCCTTCCTTTTTTCGTTTTAGCAGACTTCAAGCTTAGGCAGTCTATAGTAGTTTAAGCCTCTGGACAAGGCTAGACAGCTGAGTCAACATATGGAGTATCAGGGCCAGTTTGGCTCTTTGAGGGTTGAGGTGGTGTTGAAGTTTTGTTTGTTTGTTTGCTTTTTAAAGAAAGGATACTCAGGTTACAAAAGTTTAACTGAGAACAGACAAAATAGTGCAAGGGCAGGGTTTTGTGCATGTTCTCAAAAAGAATACCTGGAAAAAAATCAGGGTATTTAGAGGCTGCTATTACCTCTGCCAATTTTAACTATTCATAGTCTAATGTTATCAGAAACAATCTTGTTTCATTCCCCAGGTTCTCTCCACCCCCAGCAAAAGCTGACCATTTTTTAAAAATAACATTTAATCTCTCAAATAGAAGGATATATCAAAATATATACATGACGTGAAGCAGCATTTCTACAGTGATATTAATTGAATCTTTCTTGTTTTTAAATTACCCATTGTCACTTGACTAGGTAAACTTTTCTATCTATCTTGATTATACTAGTCAATGTAGTATACATTTGACTTTCTAATCTAAAAATGCAGTTGTATGCTTAAAGTGATATATTAATTTAACTCATGAAAAAAATCATAACACATTATCTCTAAAACAAATACAGATTTCCCTATCAAACAGGCCTAATAGAATCAAAATAAAAACAGAGAGCAATTCTGGTTACGTCAGCTTATCTTGGCAGCAGATTAGAGCATCTACAACATAAGCTTTACTCTGAAGAGTCAGGCTTCCCTGATGCTAATGCAATTGAGTTTTTCCTTGTATTGAACCCCTTCTGATACTGCATTATATTCTTCAGTATCATTGACTGTACATTTAAAGGGATAAGCTGTTGCTTTCATACACTCCTGCCTATAGACCTATAGGTTTCAAATTTGCTCCAAGCTACTGCATTTAAGTAAAGTAGCTTTGGATTACAGTAATAGTGCTGAATAATTCCAAAACCCACTACTAACTAGTAGTTAATAAATTGTTTTTAGTGTTACAGCATCCTGAATCTTCATTTTTTCTCTATTTCATAAGAATGTTGTCTACTCTATATTCTAATGCTCCGGTACTTTTAATAAGTAGTAGCAAATGACTAATGCTCAGAATAGAATTACTGAAAAACACAACTGGATAGGTGATGGGGCACCTGACCGGCATTAACATTCAGAGGTTCCTTCAAATATCCCGTTATTGGTGAAATTAAGGTTATCATTTTTCCTTTAGCATTCTAAGGAAAGATGTCTAGCTCTAGAAAGAAATAACATACAGCACAGAGAAATTTCCTGTAATTACAGTCTAAAGGGCTTTGAAGGCTTCCTAGGCGCTTTTTGTTCTCTTTCTCACCTTTCCCTAATAGGCTAAGCCAGAGTGCCTGAGGCATTTGGCAAAATAGAGAAATAGGTGGACTGCAGAGCTAGTCCTTAATATGCAAATTGCACCATAATTGAGATAATCTTGCAGATCTCAGAACATTTGTGAGGATAACTGGGGCATCTAGTTTTCTTTGATGCTATACTGCTATTCCAGTATGAGACAGGGAGCCAGCTACTTCTGCATAAATATGAAAAGGTGTCAACGGTACAGCAGGAGTTCAGGAGAGTTAAGAAGTTCATGTTAATTCTCATGAAAATTTCTCTGAAGCCTTTCCATGACCTGCCTAAAGGCATTTTTCTGTGGAGCCTACCTTCTATCAGCTGACCCTTCTATCTGGTATGACTTCAGCAATACTTAGCTCCCTCAGATGTTTAAGGGAGTTTGAGAGCAGGTCATTGTTGATAGATTCGCCATGTTTACCTTTTCTCTTGCTTCTTATAATTGGATCGAAATCCTGATACACTGTGTGTGCATTCCATATCCTCTCTTTTCATTTAATGAAGGACATGGCCTTCAATCTAATTACACTGTTACAGAAGTTTCATTGTATTTGAATAGACTAAAATTAAGTAATTTATAGTCCATGTATTAAAAGCCTACTTGTTTTTTCTATTGCTATTGTATTCCTATTGAAAATATAGTTACCCATGCAAAATAATTTTTAAAGACTTTTAATAGTGAACTTGCAGTATTGATTTACCAGTAGGCAAGCACATAAAGCTTCAGAGTTAAAATAAATTCCTGTTTAACTTTTAACAAGGTAGGGCTGAACATTTTTCTGTTGTTCCACATCCTGTGCCAATGCACCAAGGTCAAATGTGAATAGTCTTTCCAGGCTTACTTCTTCCCTCTAGCTCCCTTATTTATCTGCACAGGTGCAAAGAGGTCCAACTATCTTGTGAATCCCAGCCCTTTCATAACATGAACATAAAACTGAATTCCTATTGAACTCTGGTATAGCTGCCTTCATCTTAAAGTGATAGAACCGACACTCCTATGTTGATGTCATGTCGATATGCCATCATGGAAATGCAAGAATGTATGAAAAAAACTGTGAGAGTGAAATGACTAGCCCAGTCATTTCACAAATGAGATAGCCCAGTGGATAGCAGGATGCACAATGCTTCTGTTGCACAGGGTTAAGAGTAGCTAAGCTTTCCTAGTACTCTTAGGAGTGTCATGCCTACTTTTTACCCAGAGCCTATAGAAGCTCCCTCTGCTATAGGATGTCCTACAGCCACACTTCCTCACATTATCTGTAGGAATAAAGGGAAACACCAACTTTTTTTCCTGAAGAACAAATAACAGTGAATTTCTTAATTTTTTAAACATTATTTTGTACAGAGCATATCTTCTATACATAAGTAGTGAGACAGCTGAATTCTTATTTTCAGAACTTCAAGAAGAAATAACAGTTGAAAACTACACCTAAGGTGTAAGGTAACACAATTTACAGGCTTGTGATGTCAGAAGACTGTTCTATTTTTCTTTTGACTGAGATAGTGGTTTAATAAGATTGAAGATATATATAAATACAAAAGAATCAGTTACTGACATATTAAACATACCCTAAATATATGCAATCCAACTTTCAAAATTAGACTTCTTTCTAAAATGGTGAAATTTTGCATTTAGCTATTCTATTCAAGCATAAAATGGACAAATGCTTTATGAATGCCAGCATCAGTATCCTGGACTAGATGTTTTATTAGAATGCCTTATTGGTTTAACATTAACAATTCATAGAAGCCTATTGCAAAAAAACAAAAACAAAAAAACCTGTTGGAAATTACATTGTAATAGACAGTTTTCTGCATCAGTGATATTTAACAGGTTAGTTTCTCAGTTGATTGGGACAGAACTGGTGGTGTCTAGTTGGGCAATTATCCAGTTCTTGTTATATCCCGGTACACACTCAGAATACTCCGGTCCACAGCTGGGAATATTGTGGGGTTATCTAAACTGACTCCGATTCTCTCACAGAAGCTAGCTAAGCTAAAGACAGCTTATGCCACAGGAACAGTACAAACCAGACTTCATATAGGTAAGCCTGTGAATCACTGTATTCAGTATGATCTGTGGTCACGGAAGAAATAATGCAATGGAGAATTCAAAAGTTCCTCTAACTGAGAAATAAATTGTTTGCATTTGTTCATATAATTTCAGTTCTTGATATCTGGTATGGTGATACATTTTTTTTCCCCTCCCCTCTCTCTCTTTTTTTTTTTTCTCTTTTTTAAATACAGGCACATAAAACAATTACATAAGATAGAGAGTGCTATATGCTGCTGGCCTGGAAAGCAAGACCAATTGCTTATTTGTTCATATATTTTTTAGAAAGCACTACTTCCTCTCCCTCCAGTGTAATTTAAGATTTCCTTTTACTGATGAAAGTATGCAAGTGTCTGTTTTCCTCTGTGTTTGTTTCGGCTTTATTTTTAGATCATGAAGAACTCTGTGGCACCAGTTATGGATCTTTTTGTCTAAATGGAGGGATTTGTTATATGATTCCTACTGTATCCAGTCCATTCTGCAGGTCAGCAAAACTAGAATTTGTGTTTATTGGACAGAGGCTGTTCAAAGACTATTTCTCCATGTTGCTTAAGAAATTACTGTTAAAATATTGTGTGAAGAAATGCATATTACCTAAGGCTGTCCCAAATTCAGTAATTCATGCTAAGATTATTAATCTAGCTCACAGAGAGAAGGCAATATTAGAAAAAATAAACATGTATACTTGAGCAAAAGTGTCTATTTGACAGATGTAACTGTACTCAGTGATGTATGCATTCAGCATGATATCTATATTTAGAGCCATATTTCCTCCCTTCATTACACTACAGAAAGGAACAAAATACCCTTTGCCTCATGGAGAACAGACTATAGCAAAGGCATTCAGGAAGGCAAAGTACATTCCCTGTTTTTCTTCTGGATGAGTTATATTGCAAAAATTTTTTATAACATAGAAATGGCGTGACCTGAACAAAATGAGAAGGCACTAAAAGGAATATAATCTTTTCTTGGTGGGAGGGGGAGACAACACACACTATTCAAGACTTATTTTGTTCTCTGGATCTCACCAAAACACTCAGAGGGCAGCTTTAAAATGGCAGCCAAAGTCTACTTGCTAAAGAAATATGAAGGCAGCCTATGCAGACACTTCTTACACCATTAGTTTATGGGAACATTTTCCCTTTTGGAGCCCATGGAACAGACTATAGATAAAGAAACAGTTCCTATTTTTCGCATGTGAATCCCTTTCATGAATAGATATAACCCTAACCTTTTATTCTATTACTTACAAAGACATAAGAAGATATCTGATTAAATTCTCATTTTTCTTGATTTTGCATTTACTAATTTGGAATGATTGTTCATCAAGATAAGTTACGGTTAATGTAATGGATTTACTTAATACACAAAAAGGCATTCAGAAATGTATTACATACATTTAAGGATACCAGCTTTCTACTCCCATGGCAACTGCTGTTCCCCCCCCCCACAACCATATTCCCCCCCCCCCTTTTTTTTTTTTAATATCTTTCAACCTTGATCTATAACCAATGGTAATAGGATGAAACAGTTGAAGAGGGAAACAAAATCTTTTAAGAAACTCCTAATTCAAGTAGATCTTTCTTTTATTTGGGACATCTCAATCTAAACAAGTGAACTCAAGCATGTAAACTCATACAGCTGATGAGGGGAGGAAAAAAAACAATTTTGTGGTAAGTGCTCGTTTAAAGATATACACAGCACATCACTGTCATGAAGTGTGTTGTCTGATGTCATACAAGGAATTGGATGCAGAGGAGAGGACAAAACTCAGGAGTGCTTGATTATAATGTTTTGTTCTAACTACTAGACCTCAAACTTGTACCCCGAGTACAAACTTTTACCTGTACAGGACCTCAAACACTTTACATGATGTAAAGACTGCACATATGCAGAGTAAAACATGTTGAAAAATGCAGGGTTTTTTAAGCAGGACTTCCTTGTTGTTGAAGTGTTTGCAAGACAATAGAACGTTTAGACTGAGTAGCTTCAGTTACACAGTTTCAAAGTACCCTTTCTCAGTAAGTACTAGAATGTGTAATGAGGAAGGTATGCTTGATGCTATAGCTGTAAACATAAAGTAACAAATATTGAAAACAATTCATTCTTTAGCAACACAAGCTAGTAAGCATAGACTATTGCCACTTTGAAAGGCCTCTAAATGAAGTTATTTAGAATTCAGGTGCTAGAGGATCTTATAATCTGCTGAAGCAGAAAAGTAACATCTTAAGATCATCTCTGTTATACTCAGGCAATCTTATTGCATTTAAATTATCAAGTATTTTTCTTGTGTATCTAATGTTTGATTATGAAGTTATATGGATTTAAATAGAAGCATTCTATTTAAGAATGTCCTCATTCTAAGCATGTCCCTTAATCAGTCAGAGAAGAACGCTAATTATAGATGAGAAAGGTTGTGTTTACCCACAGATATCTTTGTAATCAGCAGTGATGTGAATAGAAACAACAGAAAAAAATGCATCATTATTCAGCAGAATTAAGAAAGATATTTGGTGCTTTAGAATTTCCTTAAGACTGGCATCATCACACACCTACCTAAATCTTTTTTTTTTTTAAAATACAGGTTACTGCTGGATCCCACCTAAAGCCTCCAGGTGTTGCTCTAATGATCACCTCTAGCCAACAGAAAAATTGGGTCAGAGTTTTAGAATCAAAGGCTGAATCATTGGGATTACAGCATTGACTAGAAGGGCAAATGGGACAAGAATGGACTAGTAGAACTGCGAAAAAAACCCAAACCCTTAAACACATGTTTAAAGGTGTTGTGCTGGATATAGTCAGTACAGAGTAGCTAATGCAACATCATCAGAAGTAATTTAAGAAATAGGGAAATTGCATCATTCTTTGGAAATATATTTTTTGTAGCATGCTACCGTATCAAGAGTCACTGTGTTTACTTTTGGACATTTCACAGTTGTTTTTACCCTTCAGAACTGGATGTATGTATACCGTAGAGATTTAATAGAAACAGAACATTTGATGACCTTTTCTGCAGATGACCTTTTTAGCGGATTTTAAATACAGCTGAGGTATGTTAAAGCATGAAGCTGCTCAGCTGCCATCTTCCCTTGTTCCTTTTCTAATACTGAGTTAATGTCCTCAGCAGCGAAAGGTGCACCTGTCACCATATCCAAGGTGAGCTTCAAACATGGGAATGTTTAAATGTACTAGATAAACAAACATGCAGCAAAACAGAGAAGGACACAAAATCAGCTGCCTCAGGTGTATCATGAAGCATGAGGCTGAAAGATGTTTGCCTCAGCATCTGATGTACAGCTGTCTCATAATCATTAATTACTGGAGTGCAGAATTAAGTTAAGATTTTATTGTCTGAGGAGAAGTTCCGATATTTCTATTTTTGTCTTACACAAGATAGATTTGAGAGAGCCTTCTTTTTGTATTTCAGAGAAGATAGGGGTGGCTTTTTTTTTTTTCTTTTTTTTTTGCACTCAACATTTTCAAAGCTGAACACAGATAAGGCTTACTCTAAGATGTATTGTCAGCACTGATTTTACAAGCTATGAGAATATTTTAAGGTTGCCTATTATGCAAACTGACATAAAGCTTGGGAAATAGATGTTGGGGATAAAGCTAGATGATTTCTTCAATTTGATACCAGTAATAAAGTTCAAAATTTGAATAAAGAAACAGCAGCAGTAGAATAAGAAGCCAATAAGTGGTAGTTTCTCAACATACAGTCAACATTTAAGATCCTGGAGCACAAGTATGTTATGATCATTATGTGTCCCAGGATTGGTTTTTAAGCTGATATGTGGTTGTTCCCAAATTGCCTAAGTATGCAGTGCTTTGTAGGTTTTTCCAGAAATGCTCATACAGATATCTTTGCAATTTAAGACTGAGCTGAAACATTTCTAACATGCACAATAAAGTAGTAACTAGCATACCTACGTGCAAATGAAGCCCAAGCACATAATAGCTAAAGAAAGTCAGAAGGGCATTTTCAGTCAGTGGCTCTTTCCATTAGAAAGTATCTTAAACTGTTATCTGAGGGTGCCGAAGTAAGGGGTCTTAGGTGGGTGAAAATAAGAGAGACTGAGGATGAAGGGATAAGAGGGGCCAATCAGCTGAACATGCTAACCTGGTATCTTGGAAAAACCAGGATACCAGCTCCCTGTAAGGCTCTATCTAAAGCGGCAATAGTGGCAGGTAGTTCTCATCTGTATTTCTTTCCCCACACCAGTATTGATAGCCTTTCCCTGTAATAAGGGGCATGCATCTCAAGAGGGATGGAAACACAGGCTGCAGCTCACATTCTAGAACTGGAAACACTTGTACTGGGTAGTCTAAATGTTAGAAATTACTACCTCAGCCCCAACTAGTTCTTTTTTGCAAGCCCCAAGACTAGATGCACCCAAACATAATACACTATACCATGTTCACTCTTGGAGTTGTGGAAGTCTGGTGGCTATAGATAGCTTTAAGGTATTTATTCACAAGTTTTTCCTGATAAATCCATCTTCATGTATAAGTATGGTGTATTTTTCAGGACCAGCAAGTTTCTAGAAAAGCTTCATCAGTTAGAAAAGTAGGCTTTGATATTCTGGTCAAAGGCTACATGAAAGGGGAACCAAAAGCATGAGACATTGTGCAGAAAAACAAGCCAGGGGCATGAGGACAAAAAGCTATACCAGAGCTTAATATGAGACTCTGCCTACTT